CAGAGAATGGAAGTAGTGATCTTCCTCCCATATTTGGGCATACCGGGGGTTGTAACTCTAAAAAAATATAATGCCCCCTCCCATTTTCCCACAGCCTTGAAAGTGGCATGCCTGAAGGCCCAATGCAAAAGATGGCTCCCGGGTCTAACATCACCTATGCCAGTGCCGTTGTAACTTCGAACAGTCACTAGCCGAACTGTGCTATTAGGTTCAGGAGTACGCACCTGACGTTTGATGGGCTGGAACTTATTCTGGTTCACAAAGGACTCCATCTCCAGGAGGTCAAGGGTCAGGAACCTACAGAGAAGAGAAAAGGCGATGAGAGAAATAGAGGCCATCTTCTATTTACAACAGCTAATTCGAAGCTACGACAATGCTGACAAAAAGTGACTTAGGATCGGGGTTTATTTCACACTTACGACCATGGAAGCATCTCCACGATCAAAATTGGGACGTTGGGCATCCGGTTTTATATTTACGACGGTCGCAGTGACCCTGGAGATCATCTGACGAGCGAAGTCAACGGGGAAGCCGGATTCACTTAACAACCGTGTTACCAATTTAACAACAGCGGCGATTCGCTTAACAACGGTGGCAAGGGTGGTGGTAAAACAGGGCAAAATTCATTCGACAATGGTCTTGCTTAACAAGAGACTTTCGGGGCTCAATCCTGGTTGAAAGTCGGGGGACTCCTGATATAGATTCCCAGGTCAAGAAGTACCACCTCCCCCCAAAAAGAGAGAGAACATTTCCCACAATCGGTGTGAGGTCCCCCCGCAAGCCAACACCTCCAACATGAGACACTCACCTCAAAGACTGCACCGAGAGGGGAATTTCGGCATTTCCTCTGGGAAGGAAGAAGAGAAGACACACATTGGAACAGACGATGGCTACAGGGAAGAGCCAAGGGGATTGTGCAACTCAAATTCAAGCTGAACCAGGATGCCTCTAGAAGCTGTGGATACGCCAAAATTGGACGTTTTTAAGAAGAGACTGGACGGCCACTGGTCTGAAGTGGTGTAGGGTTTCCTGCCTGAGCAGGGGGTTGGACTAGAAGACCTCCAAGGTCCCTTCCAACTCTGTTATTCCTTCCTTCCTTCCTTCCCTCCCTCCCTCTCTCCCATTGGTTATAATGCCGAATTACAAGCAAACTATGCCCAACTGTGCCCACAGCCAGGAGTTCGATCCTAACCGGGTCAAGGTTGACTCAGCCTTCCACCTTTCCGAGGTGGGTAAAATGAGGACCCAGATGGTTGGGGGCAAGAGGCTGACTCTGTAAACCGCTCGAGAGGGCTGTAGAGCACTGTGAAGCTGTATATGTCTAAGTGCTGTCTTCCGTCTTTCCGTCCTTCCTTCCTTCCTTCCTTCCTTCCTTCCTTCCTTCCCTCCCTCCCAGTGGTTTGAATGCAGCATTGAAGGCTAATTCTGCCACTGCCAGGAGTTCGCTCCTGACCAACTTAAAGTTGACTCAGCCTTCCATCCTTCCAAGGTCTGTAAAATGAGGACCCAGATTGTTGGGGGCAAAAGGCTGACTCTGTAAACCGCTTAGAGAGGGCTGTAAAAGCACTGTAAAGCGGTATATAAGTCTAAGTGCTATTGCCCTTCCTTCCTTCCTCCCTCTCTTCTTGTTTCTGTCTCCTACCTTTCTTTCTTCTGTCCCCCCACCCTTTCCCTTTCTTTTTGACTTCTTCCTCTTTCTTTCCCCCTTTTTACTTCCTTCCTTCTTTCCTTGCTTCCTTCCTACTCTGTTATTCCTCCCTCCAAATCGGAAGAACAGCAATTCACCATGCGTGGGGTTGAGATTCTCTTACCTGATGGATTCCAGCATCTCTTTCATTGACAGAAGGTCGACCTTGTCCTGTGCAGAGAGGGAGAAAAAGGCATGCAGCACAAAATGCGACCTCCAGGATTACAGTTACAAAATAGGCAGCTTATTTAGGTCTCTCTTTTTTGGATAAAGTACCGTATTTTTTGGAGTACAAGATGCAACTTTTCCCTTAAAAAAAAGAGGGTGAAAAACTGGGTGTGTCTTATACACTGAATACAGCATTTTTGGCCTCCCGAAACCCCACCCACTTCACCGTGTATTGCCTTTAGGAGGCTTCCGAAGTGCTCCGAGGGGCTGGGGAGGGCAAAAATGAGCGAAAAACGGGCCATTTTTTGTTCGTTTCCCCCACTTTTTTTGGAAAAAAAAAAGGGCCCATTTTCAGGAGGTCTGCCAAATGCAAAAACTTTTTTTTTTAATTTGCCACTTCAAAATCTTGATGCGTCTTATGCACCTGTGCGTCTTATACTCCGAAAAATACAGCAATTATCTGAATTGTTTGGATACTTTATTTGGCCAAGAGTGTGATTAGACACACAAGGAATTTGTCTCCGGTACAGAAGTACGCAATGTACATTCAAGGAAAGAGGAGGAGGAGGAGGAGGAAGAGGAGGAGGAGGAGGAGGAGGAGGATGAGGAGGAGGAAGGGGAAGGAGTCAAGGTGGAGAACATATCTAGCACACCTACATCCTCCTATTTTCCCCACAACAGCAACCCTGTGAGGTGGGTTGGGCTGGCAAAGCATGATAGGCCCAGCCGGCTTTCAGGCTTTAGACAGAACTAGAACTCATCATCTTCCAGGTGATTGGCCCAAAGTCACCCAGTCAGCTTTCATGGCTAAGGCAGAACTAGAACTCACTGTCTCCTTGTTTTTAGCCTGGTGCCTTAACCACTACTAGACCAAGCTGACTCATTCATGGATCAAGAGATGCCAGCAGATAAGTGATCAACAGGCACCCTACCTACCCCAAAAAGGACAGGACCATAAGCTTCAAATCTTGGCATCTTTGTGCCATTCAAATGGGCTCATTTAAAACCTGTTCTCTCTCTGTGTATGTGTGTGTGTGTCTGTCTGTCTCTCTGTCTTTCTCTGTCTGTCTGTCTCTGTCTTTCTCTCTCTGTCTCTCTCCCCCCTCTCTATCTCTGTCTCTCTCTCAGTCTTTCTGTCTCTCTCTATCTTTCTCTGTCTGTCTCTGTCTCTCTGTCTGTCTCTGTTTCCCACCCCTCTCTCTATCTCTGTCTCTCTCTGTCTCCCTTCCCTCTCTCTATCTCTCTCTATCTCTCTGTCTCTCTCTTGATCTTTCTCTCTCTCTCTCTTGGTCTTTCTCTCTCTCTCTCCGTCTCTCTCTCTCTCTCCCTCCCCTCTCTCTGTCTCTCTCTCGGTCTCTCTCTCTCTCTCTGTCTCTCTCTCGATCTCTCTCTCTCTCTCTCTTGGTCTTTCTCTCTCTCTCTCCGTCTCTCTCTCTCTCTCCCTCCCCTCTCTCTGTCTCTCTCTTGGTCTCTCTCTCTCTCTCTGTCTCTCTCTCGATCTCTCTCTCTCTCTCTCTTGG